CCAGATAAGACTTGGGTTATGAAATATGTTGTTAAACACCCATTGAAATTTCGAAAATGATTTTGAAAATTTTATACTGGTTTTTGGAAAGTCTAGAATTTCTTTAAAATCAAAGTGGGGTGTTACACTAGGGCTGCTAGACAAGAGGCCATGAGTGCTCTGATGACTACGCGCATGGCAGAGGGAACACCCGTAAGGGAGCATTCTCTCAAGGTTATGGCGCTACTCAATGAGCTTGAGGTTAGGAGAGGTTTTATCGACAGGGAAACCCAGGTTGATATCATGCTCCAATCTCTGCTAAAGAGTTTTGATCAGTTCCGATTGAACTACAACATGCACAAGACATATGGCTCTTCCAAAACTGTTAGCAGAGCTTCAGTCGGCAGAGGTCTTATTTACTCAGGCGCCACACGCACTGGTTGCCGAGCAGGCTGGACCTTCCAGGCCTCACTAGGGCAGAAAGAGAAATAAGTCTGCAGGAAAGGCAAAGGTGCAGAATGCCCCGGTGGTACAGCGACCGCCCCCTCAGTCTGTGGCAAAGAAGCCGAAAGGTAGATGCCATAAGTGCAACAAGTCAGGACACTGGAAGGTCGACTGCCCTCTCCTCAAGAAAGGTAACTCTCTCGTTAATGTTGTAAAAACATGTTTAGCTATTGCATCTACCAGAACCTGGTGTGTAGATACTGGAGCCACTGATCATGTTTGTAATTCGTTGCAGGGGTTCCAGTAAACCAGACGGCTTAGGGAGGGAGAGATCACCGTCTACATGGGCGATGCTACGAAAGTGGCAGCTGTTGCAGTGGGAGACGTTACTTTATCTTTTGATAGTAGTATTTTGGTTTTTGAGACATTGCCTTTATGTTCCTAGTTTTAGAAAGAATCTTGTTTCAGTTTCTAAACTTATTTCAGATGGATTTTCGTTTACGTTTGATGACATGGTTGTTATTCGTTATGGAAAGCGTTTCATTTGTTTTGGTTCATTAGATGGAAATTTATATGTTCTCAAACCAAACTCTCCCACACTGCAACAAACTGAATTGAATAATATCACGACTAAATCTAATAAGAGGAAGGAATCTTCGAGTATGAATCAAGCATATCTATGGCACCTTAGACTTGGGCACATCAACCTAAGGAGGATTCAAAAGTTAGTGGTCAATAGACTTCTCGGTCTATTGGAAGAGCACTATCCAACTTGCGAATCATGCCTAGAAGGTAAGATGGCCAAGAGGCCGTTTACGGCAAAGGGGTATATGAGCCAAGAAGTGATAGGATTGATTCATTCTGATTTATGTGGTCCTATGTTGATCCAGGCTAGAGGAGGTTTCGAGTACTTTGTCTCTTTTATAGATGATTACTCATGATTTGGGTACATTTATCTGTTGCACCGCAAGTCCGAATGCTTTGAAAAATTCAAGGAGTATCGGGGAGTTGTGGAGAAGCTACATGGTAAAAGTATCAAGTAGCTTCAATCTGATCGAGGTGGCGAATACCTCTTTGGAGAGTTCAGGACATACTTATCAGAAGCTGGGATTGAATCTCAATTGACTGCAACCGGCACGCCCCAGCAGAACTGGGTTGCAGAACAAAGAAATAGGACTTATGGAAATAGTTAGGTCGATGATGAGTTATTCAATGTTACCAGATTCGTTTTGTGGATTGGCTTTAAAAACAGCTGTGTATATTCTGAACATGGTTCCATCAAAGTCGGTAGAAGCTACTCCTTATGAGATGTGGAAAGGGTGCAAGCCCAGTTTCTCACAGTTTCGAGTATGGGGTAGTCCTGCACACACGTGTTAGTGTAGGAAGCTGGCAAGTTGGAAAAACGATCAGAAGCACGAGGGTTTGTAGGTTGTCCTAAGGGAACGAAAGGTGGATTATTTTATAGTCCTAAGGATCAGAAGGTGATCGTTAGCACGAATGCTAGATTCTTGAAAGAAGACTATATTATGAATCACAAGCCCGCGAGTAGACTGGTCTTAGAGGAGTTGAGGGGTGAAGTCGATAGTTTCCCACCGAGTGCGCAAGTAGATACATCACATAATACTGCACACGGCACACGGAGAGTGTACCAGTGCAGACAGTACCTCGTCATAGTGGGAGAGTTTCTCAATTACACTACCGATGGATAAGTCTTGGAGAGTCTAAGGGCTCAGTTCCAGGAAACCTAGAATCGGACCCAAGAACCTACAATGAGGCACTTCAAGATAAAGATGCAGAATCACGAAATGTTGCAATGAATGCTGAAATGGGGTCAATGGACTCTAATCAGGTCTAGGATCTTGTAGAACCACCCAATGGGGTACGACCCATTGGATGTAAGTGGATCTACAAGAGAAATAGAGGATCAGATGGAGAGGTGCGAACCTTTAAAGCTAGGCTTGTTGCGAAAGGTTATACCCAGATTGAGG